CGTCTGTCGTCAGCCGAATCGTTCCTCTTTGGCGGCATCGTGGATCGTAGCTAACTATGGATACCAACTGATGTAGCGCAGCGATAAACGAAAGGGAAATAAGATATAAAATCTTAAAATACTATAAGTTTATTTAAAGATAGCCAATCGGCTTGAAGGGAGAAGGACACAATATATAGAGTTCAAGTCTAAATCCCTATCTTGCTAAACAAGTAAATACCAAATAAATAAATATTCTCCTACCAACTAGAAAGAAAGAAATAATAATAAAATATTATAATAAAAATACTACTACTAATAATGATAATAATAATAGTAATAATATTCTGCACCAAAATGTTCGTTCAATTTACACTTTGCTATCGACACATCATGAATAGATGGTTGTTATGGTGGCACCACATGTTGCAATGACAGTTTTTTATGGCGAATGTTGACCTAAGTTAGAACCCAAACTTTGAAAGGTATGGTCTTGTTCTGGTTCATATATTGTGAAACCCTGGATCAACATGTCGAAATCGTCCTTCAACTACTTGTTTTTTTGTTATATATATTATAAATATTTGAATTTAAGAACTAACTTCTAATGTTTAATCAGTGATACAGAGACAACTTTAACTTAAGTATTTAAAGTTGACATTTGAATCAAGCACAAATTCCTCCCTATTTTGCAATAAATCTACATGACACAAAGCTTTCAAGAGTTAAACCACGTGAAATCAAATGAGAAAATTACTCCCCATACAGTCTATTGCATAAATAATATCATATGTACGATCAAGTGGAACTTTCATCAAAATTACGTTATGTTATAATTAAATAAAATTAATAATAGATTAGGCAATTTAAATTTGGGCTAATTAACTATTAAGTGATGTTCACGGCCTAGCTGTACCTACCGTCTTTTTTTGGGGGTCAATATCAGCATTAGGAGTTCCTATCGTAATGCATGACTGATTTGGTTGGTAATAAGGATCTTTGGTGATTCAAGAGGCGGCTTATGACTGTTTCGCCCAAGAAAGAGAAATTGAATCATCAAAAAGTTAATTATATTTAATGAAGTCTGAAATTATTGCTTTTTCAAAGAAACCAAACTCTCTTACATGAATATTGGGAAACGTGATTTCCTTCCTTTACACTCAACCCAAAAAAAATATATCACTACATCTCTCAATGTCTCGGTCATAGTGCAGTTCTTATCTCTCCCCAAAAAAATTTCATCTCTATCACATACACAGAAAAACCTTCAATATATCAACACCAAAAAATTGCATCTCTCCGATAGAACAATGTCAAAGCCAAAAAAAAATGAGGATAAACCATCCAACATTGAAGTCGAAGCAAGGGTAACCCGCTCCCAATCTCGTCACAAATCTTAATTTCTGTACAAAAAAAAGCTCCAATATCAAAAAATGGAGGTTCCGAGCCGTGCCAAAAAATCTATCCTAAATACCGTCGGGAGTGAGTCGGAGACGGCGACGATTTTGTTCCGAACATAAAATCAAACAAAAAGAAATAAGGTGTTTGAGGACACCAACAAGAAGAGAATTTGAGAAAAAACAAGGTAAATAAAAAATTGTTGATACATCCGATTCGGATTTCAATCTTTAAGTGGAGGAGGAATCATAATCGAGTGAAATGGGAGCGGATGTATCATTTTATTATTATATTGTATTTTCAGAAATATTTATATCTTGTTTATCTTATGTATATATATATAAAAATATTGATATCATGTTATATAAGTATATTGAATTTCATCAATGTTTATATGTTGTTTATATTACGTATATATATATGTTCAATTTTTGACGTGATGTTATAAGTTTATTGCATTTGAGAAAAGTTTATATGTTGTTTATCTTATGTATATATATATATACAATTTTTTTGTCATTTTATAAGGTTATTGTAGAATCAAAAAATGTATATATATTGTTTATATATATATATATACATATATATATATATGTACAATTAATCCAATATTATGACTACTCCATTCCATATAATAAAAACACTATATAATTTCGTAATTGATCCCCACAATAAAATAAAATAAAATAAACATAAAATATACCTTCAAGAGTTTTGGCTCAATTGCTATTTCACGATCTATTTCACAAACACCTTGATATTTTTTTTTATATCTTCTCTTCGTGTTTTTTATCCTATACTGTAAGAAAAAATTGACATGTTAATCCCGCTTCAATTTTTGAATTCTTATTACCTGAATTATAGGTATCACATTGCCATGTTTATTTATTTCTTCTTTTTTTTTTATAAATTTTCCGTTACTCATGCGTGAATCTCACCCACTTGAATGGCATTATCAATATATGGAGAGAGAAAAAAAAAACGGATCTTCTGATATAAATCACAATCTCGTACAATTGAAATAAAAATCATTTATTACTCCTATTTTGATTAATGTTTGCAAGAATGGTATATATGTAAATATCTCTAGATAGAGCTCCATGTACGTA